TGAGAGAGTTGGTGGGAAACACAACAGAATTAGACCCTCAAGAATTTCAGACAGTGGAATTATAGAAACACAATTGTTTAAAATGATTAAAGACTAAAAAAAAAAAAAAAAAAAAAAAAAAGAACAAATAATACAGGTAAAAAAGCATGACATGTTTTTAAAAAGGCCACTTGTATTTATAAAAGAACCAAATAGAACTTCTAGAAGTGAAAAATATAGTCAATGGATAGGTTAAATTTGCAGATTAGATCCAATTAAAGGAAAATTATTCAACTGAAAGATAGATCTAAAGAAATTACCCAGGCCCTGGGCAGGTAGCTCAGTTGGTTAGCGCATCGTCCCAATATACCAAGGTTGAGGGTTCAATCCCAATCAATGCACATACAGGAATCAGCCAAAGTGGAACAACAGGTGGGTGTTTCTCTTTCTCCCTTCCTTCCTCTCTCTCTCTCAAATCAAAAGTAAAGGAATTACCCAGAGTGCAGCAGAGATAAAGAAATAAAAAAATATGAAAGAAAAGTTCATAGGGAATAGAATGAGAAGATCAAACATGTCTACGGTATTAGGCATTGAAAAGGAAGAGAATAGAATGCAAGAGGCACAACATTTGGAAAGAGAACTTTCCAGGACTGATGAAATATATTAATCTTCAGATTCAGGAAGCACAGTGAATCCCAAGCAACATAAATAAAAATAAACTCCCACACCTAGATTTATCATAGGGAAATTACAGAATACTAAAGACAAAGAGAAGATTCTGAGATCAATAAGAGAAAAAGTTGATGAGCTACAAAGGAATGACCATTAGATTGACAATAGAAGACAAGCTGGGCCTGGTAACATACACCTTTGGGGTCCATCAAATGCTCCCCAGGCTGCTCCTAACACTACCACCTTCCTCCCACTCCCTCACCTCCCCAGCCAAATGCAGTTCTAAAATCTGGCTGGGGCTCTAGACCCACCTGTTACTGGTTGCAGCTGGACCAGAGCACAGCCAGGGCCTGTGGCCACCACACGGAAGTGGCTTAGGGTCCTCTTGACACCTTCCAGGATGTCCTTTCGGGACGGGGACTTCACTGGAACTACCTGTGGTATCAGCCCCCAAGAATGAACAAGTTCACACACACCTGGGAGCTATACCCAAACCTCCCTGCTACTCAGGACAGGCAGTATAGGCAGTGGTTGTGTGCCTGTTTTGGGAGACAGGAGAGCCAGCTACCTCACGTCCATACCCTTAACTCCCCTGTAAGAGTAATATGTCTGGAGAGTCTCCTCCTGTTCCCCACCCAGACCCTGACTCACTGAACCAACGCCATCAACGTATTCCAGTTTCAGAGCTGCTTGGATCTTTCCCTCAGAAGTAGCGGGGATCCCATCAGTGACAGCCCTGAGGAAGAGGCAGGAGGCGGTCACAGAGTGGTCTGGCGGGACCTCCCCACGGCCGCGGAGCCTCCCAGCACCTCTCACCAGTAGGTGGCCGTGGGTCTCTGGGCTCTTCGTGAGTAGGCGAAGAACTTCTGGAGGCGGCTTGCTGTCTGGGGACAACTGGAGAGGAGCACAAGCCCAGAGGTCTCCCTGAAGGAAGGGGACAGGTCATGAGAGTTAAAGTCCCTTGGGCTCACTCACAAAAAAAGGAGAAACACTGACCTGTTTAAGGCCAAACAGTAGTACCAGATTATAACCCAGACCTCCTCCTGAGAAACAGGGCTTCCTCGTGCTTGATAAGGCTATGCAGCTCAATGTGTCTCTCACTCCGCCTTGGATCCCAGGGAGCTCAGAGTTAAGTGTCACAACAATTACCACCAATTGCGGAGTGCCCACCATGTGCCAAGCCCTATACTACTAATTTTATATATATATTATCTCTGAAATAATTAAATTCCCCACACACAAGCCAAGGAGTTTGTGAAAGTGCAAAAATATTTCTTCTCAAGTACCATCTCTAATTGATGGCAGTTAGACGAAAGAATATCGATGATCAGTTCATGGCCATGCCTGCCATGAGTAGGAACTTGGAAAAGTGTCTGCATACTGAACATGGCTCTTACTAGTATTAGCTCTAGGTAATGATTCAGGAAACTGAGGCTCAGTGAGGTTTCATGCTTTGCCTAAGATGCCAGTTTGTGCATGAGGATTTGAACCCAGATCGGTCTGCTCCCTCCTGCACCTTGTATTCTATCGCTATGATCCCAAACCAGCCATGGAAATGCCTCGGCTTCTTTCCAAGCAACTGTTCCCTAACCCTAGATGGATGCCTATCCTACCGTCCAATCACCCCCACCACTTACTTCCCAGATGCTCGGACAACCTGGAGCTCCTGCTCCCCAAGCCCCAGGGACTGGCTCAGCTCTGGCAGCACTGAGAACAATGTCAGCTCTCCTGGTTTTCCTGGGGAAAAAAGAAAGAAAAAAATACAAGTTGCTCCAGAGGCAACTCTATCCCATCATCCCCTTCTCTTCACTATTCCCTCCTTAGAGACATCAAACCCCCTTTCAGTGCATCTCCTTCCCCTGCTCATACCTGTCACTGGGAGACCCTGTGGCTTGTTCAACGTCACTAGTGGTCCTAAGACAGACATACAGGAACATCATTGACAGAAAAAGCAGCAGTTAGAGTTTACAAAGCACTTTCTCAATTCATCTTTTTCTCTTTATTTTTATTATTGACACTGTTACTGATGTCCCATTTCCCCACTCCCTTTGCCCCTCTCCACCCAGCTCCCCCCCCCCTTCCAAACCGTTGTCTGTGTCCTTGGGTTATGCATATATATCCTTTGGCTAATCCCTTCACCTTCTTTCATCCAAGAAGAAAGAGAGAGAGACACATCTATCTCTATATATAAAAGGCTAATATGCAAAGTGTCCCCTTGGGAGTTCAACTGCTCGCTATGAAATGTGCTGACCACCAGGGGTGGCGTGGAATGAAGGAAGGCTCCAGTCGGAAGGCCCCAGGCCTAGGGAGCCTACCCATGCACAAATCATCGACCGATGCCTCCTGCATGCCCCCTACTGGGGATGGAGCTTGCAACCTGGGCATATGCCTTGAGTGGGAATCTAACCAGTGACCTCTTTTCCTGGGTTGACACACAACCACTGAGCCACACCCACCTGGGCTCCAATAGTCTCTCTCTCTTTTTTTTTTTTTTACATAACATTGGAACTTTTTATTCTCTAATTAAAATTCAAGTTGCTAAAAGTGGATACAGTAGACAGTTGGACAGCCAATTTGGCAGAAGCTTCATTTGAAAAAAAAAAACACAATTTCTTTACATGACTGCTTTGGATCTCTTCTCTCAGCCTTTCTCAGTGCATAAAGTGAAACTTTACCTCATCCAATAGCCTCTTTTTAAAAAAATATATTTTATTGATTTTTTACAGAGAGGAAGGGAGAGTTCCCTCTGGCTCAATTCATCTTATCATGAGGCCCCACCACAACTCTCAGACATGTTATCAACCACACCCTAAATGAAACTTCTTCCTGTCCCTCACGTATGCGAAGCTCCTGCCACCTCAGGGCCTTTGCATTTGCTGTTTCTTCTGTCCCAGACTTTCATATCTGTCTCCTTCATATCATCCTGGCTCAGATGTCACCAGCAGAGGCCTAATTCTGCAATCTAATGTCTGCCCCACTCCTACAGTCCCTCACCGTCATACCACTGTTTTATTCATAGCACTGATCACTAGTAACTACCTTGTTTAATCCATTTCTCCCACTAAAATATTGGCTCGCTGAGTGCAGAAACCATATTTATCTTGTATAGCCATGCCTGGTGTCTAGAACATAGACTATGCTCAATAAATAGTTAAGAGAAATATTAAATAGCTGAATGAAGATTGAGGCTCAAAATGTTACTTTCCTAAAGCCACACAGCAAGCTGATTACAGAGCCTAGATCTGACTCCAGAGCCTGTGTTTTGTCCATCAATAAGCAATTTATTAGAGCAATTCCCATTCTGAAGTGCCTAATGTGTTTAACACTCTCTAGCTCTTTCCACCTTCCCACCCCGTACCCCATAATGCAGAGGCTCAGAGAGATTATGTGGCTCATTCCTGCCCATGACCCTTATACAGCGGTTCTCAACCTGTGGGTCGCGACCCCTTTGGCAGTCGAACGACCCTTTCACAGGGGTCGCCTAAAACCATCCTGCATATCAGATATTTACATTACGATTCATAACAGTAGCAACATTACAGTTATGAAGTAGCAACAAAAATAATGTTATGGTTGGGTCACAACATGAGGAACTGTATTTAAAGGGCCAGAAGATTGAGAACCACTGCTCTAATAGGAGGCAGACCAGGATTGGCCCCCAAAGGCTTTTAATGGGGAGCCCATTCAGTTGGCCATAAGGCTCGGGGCAGCACGCTCCCCTCCCCTCTCTGTGCAGCTGTCTCGCTCACGCTCACCTTTCTGGTCCACCACAGATGCCCTCAGCACATCGACCAGCTCCTCCCGACTGAGGTTCTCTGGCTGCAGCAGCCCTGGGAAGGACTGGTTTCCCAGGGACCCTGATCGCTTGCTGGAGCCTCGAGGTTGCAGCTGACGCCTGGAGAAGGTGGAATAAGCAACAGGGGAGTGTGTTTACTGAAGTGCCGCCCATTCTTACCTCCACACACCCTTCCTAAATCCTAACAAATGCCTCAGAATGCCTGGGCGGAGGTCTCCGAAAACTCAGGTTCGACTGGCCCCATTTTACAGAGGAGAAGACTGAGGCTCAGAGAGGACTAGTGACGAATGTGCCATCATACAGAACCAGCATTGGAACCCATAGCTTCCTAACTCCAGATCCCGCACACACCTTCCCCCAGCCCCCCCTCCCACCCCACGGAAGTGTGTATGGGTGTGTGTGCAATCACCGGGCCTCGGTGCCAAAGCCTGCGACCTTGCGAGCTGAGCCGACCCCTGGCCCCCGCCACCAGCCACCCCAGACCGGGCCCAACACCCGGTAGCCACCCATTTCCCTGCGAAATCAGTGCGCATGTGTCCAGAGGGCAGCCCCACGCCCCACGCTAGCCCACAGCACGCTGATTGGTCAGATCGACTGTCAATCGGAAAAGCCAGAAGGCGGGGCTTTAGAGCCGTGAGAAGGCGGAAGTTCGCCTTCGCCTGGAAGGAAGTGCTTCTGGGGAGCCGGGGGCACAGAGTAGAGGAGGGGTTTGCCAGGGTCGCAGAGGCTCTCTACGTACAAAACGGGCGAAAGGTTGACGGGAAGAGGCCGCGTGCTAACCTGGCTAGGTAAGGGAAGCCTGCACGGCCGCCTTGCAAACTCCGAGGCCTAAAGGAACCACAAAGGATGGTCTGAAATTAAAACGTTGGGAACTAAAAGCAGTTTATGGTGGGTAGTCATGTTCTAGGCCAGTATCTTACCTGGAAAAGGTCCATCTTTATCATAACGGAGACTGTCTGTTGTTCCTTTGCACCTGTGATACATATCGTTGGAATGTCAAAGTAATTTTCCAGACCCCTCAAAGCACGGGCACCAGTCTGCAGAGACCACAGATGGCCTTGTTGTTATTGAGTTCGTTTGTTGACTGTTAACTCTCCTGCACCCACCTAAGTAAAAAGTGTGTCTATCTTACTTTTTATCCAATCCCAGAGTTTCCCCTCCCTCCTCCGCCCCACTTCGCTTTCTCCCACCTCCCTAATCTATCATCAATGGGTTTCATGTAACCCATTTGATTGTAATGTATAAAACAAGGTGCAGCCATAGCAGGTTTGGCTCAGTGAATAGAGCATCCGCCTGCGGACTAAAAGGTCCCAGGTTCCATTCAGGACAAGGGCATATGCCCAGGTTGTGGGCTCGATCCACCCCCATCCCCCGTAGGGGGCGTGCAGGAGGCAGCCAATCAATAATTCTCTCTCATTGATGTTTCCATCTATCTCTCCCTTCCTCTCTGAAATCAATAAAAAATATATATTAAAACACACACACACACAAAGTGCATAACTGCCATTCTCCAGAGCATTATCTCAATCCATTGAGATTTTGCTTCCCGGCATTTGTCGACAGTTTGGCTCAAATAAACTCACAAAAATTCTTCACAGGTTTGAATATTTCTTAATGTTGACAGGGAACCTGAGACACAGAGCAGAGGAGGAATTCATCAGGGTCAGAGAGGATGTCTCAGGACAAAACTGAACGAACATTAGGTTTTCTAATTACCATTTTAATTCTAGAAGCCTTCTGCTTTCAAAAAGCCACTGTCTTAAGGCAAGTTGGGGGTAGGAGTGAGGGAAATCCAGTAAACTGCTTGGAAGGACAGCCTGGTGCACAAGCCAAAAGGAGAGAAAGTCCAGAGGCAGGAGATTCACTAAAGCATTATTTATCAAAGCAAAAACAAAACAAGCCTCAAAACTGGAAACATAAATTGCCCTGTGATTAGCTCTATACAGGAAATAAATCTAATATATCACCTATTCAACATTTTTTTAAAAATATATTTTTATTGATTTCAGAAGGGAAGGGAGAGGGAGAGAGAGAGAAACATCAAAGATGAGAGAGAATCACAGATCAGCTGCTTCTTGCACGCCCCCAACTGGGGATCGAGCCCACAACCCGGGCATGTGCCCTTGACCAGAATCTAACCCGGAACCCTTCAGGCTGTAGGCCAACACTATCCACTGAGCCAAACTGGCTAGGCCTATTCAACATCTTTTTCATGCTAACTCTATTCCAGGCCCTGGCAACTGGGGAACACAGATCAGCAAGACCCAGGCACTACTCACAGGAAGTTCAACCAAGTGGATACAGTTCAAATCACAGCATCACAACACACCTTGATAAACCCTGTGCAGATTTAGAGAGGAGTGAGGAACCAGGTGAAATCAAAAGGTGTCCAAGCATGGGTTATGATTGGCAGGTGTGAAGAACTTATAGAAATTCACCAGGAAGCAGAGGTAGGGAACAACAAGAGAAATGAACTAAGTAAGAAAGAAAGAACAAAATGGATTATTTTCTGTAATTACAACTATGGAAAAATCACATGGAACCTGTGCATTGTTTTATTTATTTACTAAGAGCACTGTAACTTTTAATTCATTGTTTGCATTAACAAAAGACTTCAAATTAACCTAAATCCATCAACAGAGGGATGGCTAAGTCAATTGTAGCACATCCAGACCATGCAGCCATTAAGGAATGTATAGGTCTATATGTGCTGGTATGACTCAATCTCCAGAGAATATTAAGTAAAAAGAACAAAGTGAAGGGCAGTGTGACTAGAATATGCATGCGCTGTGTGTGTGTGTGTGTGTGTGTGTGTGTGTGTGTATATATATAGTCATGTTCCGCATAATGATATTTCAGTCAACTACGGACCACATGTGAAGGTGGTTGCATAAAATTATAATAGAGCCCTGGCCAGTGTGGCTCAGTTGGTTAGGCTTCCTCCTATGCACAAAAAGGTCATTGGTTCTATTTAGGTCAGGGCACATGCCTGGGTTGCAGACTCAATCCCTGGTACAGGGTGTTCCCACCTGATTGATGTTTCACTCTCATATCAATGTTTCTCTTTTTCTCCCTCTCCCTATCTCTAAAATTTTTTTAAAATATCTTTTAAAAACCTCTCACATCAATGTTTCTCTCCCTCTAAAAATCATTTAAAATATTTTTTTAAAAGATTATAATGGAGTTGAAATATTACTATCACCTAGTGAGGTTGAAGCTGTTACACTGTCATAGCACAATGCTTAACTCACATGTTTGTGGTGATGCTGGTGTAGACAAACCTTTCATAGAAAAGTATAGTGTATACAATTATGTACAGTATATAATACTTAAAAATAGTAATAAATGGCTATGGGACTGGTTTATGTATTCACTATACTATATTTTTATCATTACTTTAGAGTGTACTCTTTCTACTTATTAAAAAAAAGTTTACCATAAAACAGTATGCCATGTTATACTAGCAGCAGGACCATACATCTCATACTTACTGCATCAATGAATTGCATAATTTTCTTTTGTGCTTGATTTAATCTCATGTTGTTTTGTACAGTAACATGCTCTACAGGATTGTAGCCTAGGTGTGTAGTAGGCCATACCATTTAGGTTTGTGTAAGTGCACTCTATAATGCTCACACAACAATGAAATTGTCTAACGGTGCATTTCCCAGAACTATTCCCATCATTATGGGGTGCATGACTGTAAATGCGTGTGCAATTTATGTAATTTGTTTTATTTATATATTCCTAGATTTCTGAAAGTGATAGGGAGAAGGGCACATAATAGGAATAGGACCACAGTTGTTTAATGATTATTCACTTTACTAACTATAGGTAAGAGGTTTAAAAAATTTTTTAAAGTATGTTTTTATTGATTTGAGAGAGAGAGGAGGGGAGAGGAAGGAGATAGAAACATCCATGCAACACTGATTGGCAGCTCTAGCACGCCCCCTGCTGGGGATCGAGCCCATAGCCCCGGGTGTATGCCCCGACTGAGAATTGGACTTGTTGGTGCATGGGTCATGCTCTACCACAGAGCCACACCGGCTGGGCGGGCTATAACAGGTTTTCTTACAGATCCTGGGAAACTGGAGAATCTGCTGCAGGAAGAAAAACAAGGCTGTAAAAAGATACAATGCCTTGGAGCCTGGATAGGTCCATTACTCAAAAAATTCAAGGACAGGAAACACTGATTTATTTGGTTGCTGTGCCAGGACCCTGACCCCCTCCGGGAATTCACCTCAGGAATGCTGACCATTCTCCAGTCCCAGGAACAGGCTGAGCTGGTTTTTAACAGTAAATTAACTACCTTGTTATTAGACTTCACGATCCTGGAAGGAGACACAGGGACCATGGACCCTGCAGCCCTTATCCTGCCCCCCTTCCCCCTTGCAGGTAGCCCTTCTTCCTTATCCTATACAATCAGCCAACTAGTAGGAGATGTTAGAGCAGAATTTTCAGGATGACCTGCTGCTCTCTCCATACTGCTGGCATTTTTGGATTAAATGCTCATGTAATTCAACCTTGTCTCTGCTTAATTTGGCTCAAGTAGAGACGGGCAGCCCCGGACCTGTTTTGTGTCCGGTTTCAAAAGGACACACAAAAACAAGATGGTGGTTGCTTCCTGAGAAGGAATCAGAGGTGAGAAGATGAATAAATATGTTTTCCCTTTAGAACTGCTTAAATTTTTTATCTCATTGATATATTTCTTATATATACACACACACCTAATTTAAATATCTAAAGCATAAAAGATTGTAAGATTCATAAAATTTTCAAAATAATAAAAAATTTCAAAACTAAAATTTGATAGAACTAAATTTTTAAAAGACAGTGTGATTCTATTTACATGACATTTTAGAAAAGGCAGACTATTTTGGCAGAAAACCAAGTGGATGCCAAGGGCTTGGGGTGGGTGGGGGAATAGGATTGACTAGAAAGGGGCATAAAGGAGCTTTTTGGCATGCTGGAAGTGGTGGCTACATACTGTATCAATTTGCCCAAAGTTAATTGAACTACTAGTATATACCTTAAAAGGGTAAATTTTATTATATGTAAGTTATACCTCAAGAACTTTTTCTAATTCAAATATTTAAATAACCAATTCTTAAGTAGATGTGGGCAAATATAGACAGGACTGGCAAGAACTTTGGCAATAATGCAAGTGGTGTGGTTTTATCTTGTTTGGGGCTTGGACATTA